AGAACAGCGCATGGGCTTGGGCACCCCCACCACAACCACAACCACCCCAGCGGCTTGGACATTCCAAGGAAGAGATTTTAACAATGGAAGTGGACAATTTAGCGCTGAAGAAACAGCTTCTTCAAAAGAAACTTAATTTAGCCGACTTGCAGATTTCGTACTGGTCTAAAAGGAACCAGTACGCTTAGTTATGTGGTGTTTTGTAATGTTTCTTCAGTTCGATGTTGTTACTCAGTGATTTTTCGTGTGCCTGTTTATTGTATCTGTGTGATTAATTATGGTTAATCCCGTTTTCTCTTGAAGTGCTTTAAAATGAACTCATGTATAGTACTCATAATAATCATAATATTCATTCGTGTGCCTTGACATAAATACCTGGCAATAAAGTTGGATGAAAACTTCAATGTAATCAACTAGGGCAACATGACCACCAAACAACTGAGTAATAATTCATAATTCAAAACACAGAAATCATTTCCTATCATTCGGCTTATTTGCCAATAACAGATCCTCAAAAATTCGTTGAAGACCACGGACGAAAGACGACTTGAACAGAGAATGGATGAAGGGACACCTTAATAATAACGATCATCACCAGTCATTTCATCTCACTTACATTGCATTAATCGATGAATAAATATAAATAACCTCAAAAATAACGTTCAATTATGTCTCGCATAAAAGAAATCGCACTGGGCTCGGGAGCTTCGGTTGATGGCTCAGATGGAACCTCGCCATCCTGCCGAAGTTCTCCTGAGTACTCGTCATAATCGCTAGGCTCATTGGCACCTATCGCTATGTTTCGAAGTACGCAGCAGGTTACCACTATTTCAGCTGCTTTACTTGGGGAGTACCTTCAATAGAGCAGATTGCAATCATCACCCACAAGAAGCAAGGAAGCATCCAATATCACCTGCACTCCCCATGTAAAATATGGAATTGTCGTTTGAGCACTCCAAAAGCCTGCTCGACTCGAGTGCGCGCAGGAGCATACAGCTTGATTATACCTCTCCTCTGTAGAAAACAGCTTTTGACAAAAACAGTTATATCAACAAATACTGAATACCTTGCAGGTTTCTCGGGAAGTCTAGTGGCTTGAGTAGAAACGTCTCTGCAGCATATGCCGAATCGCCCAAGAGAACTCCTTGGAGCTCTCCTTTCTTCAGCTGGTCGTATAAAATCGAGGTTGTGAAAACCCGTGAATCGTGGGTTAATCCTGGCCATTTCGAGCTCACCCATCTCACTCTCATATCAAAATCGACCACAATGCCTACATTGAGACTGTGGTACCCCTTTCGACACACATAGTCTCTTCTTCTCCTTCGGTAGGCCGCTGTATTCGGCAGTGAGTGCCGTCGATGACACCAGTAACTCCCGGAAGGCCGAATTTGGTGTAAAACTTGCGTCTTATTTCGATCTTCTCTCCTTCTCGCGGCCAGAATATGAACTGGCCTGCCCTTCTATTCAATGCTCGCACAAATGCAAACAAAGCGTCTCCCACAGTGGTTTGGTGACATCCTGCGATCCTTGCCGCGTCGCTCTGCATTACGTTTCTGCCAAGCAAGTGTATGCTTATGGAAACTAAATATATCTGCCACCGACAAGTCAATCCCCCTCCCTTGCTGCCGTTGCAGGTCGTCCTGCACCATCTCGCAAATTCTGCGGAAAACGTGCCGGGAGAAGCGATAATCTTTTCTGAACTCCACGTCGCTCAAATAATTGTAGGGGCGCGTTCGATCTCGGAATGTGCGATGGACAGAAACCGTTGCATACCTCTCAACCAATTCAAGGCTATCAAGAGGCTCCATTCTATCTGAAAATATCCTAGCAGCTTGTGTTATATGCAATATGCGGTGAAATTCCAGTTCGGTGGGGGGGGGCAGTCACAATATCTCAGCTATTTATCCCAACAAAGTGTTCAACTAATCGAAACCAAATTGCGGGAAGATCCTCGTAATAACTTCGAACACACTTAATGTCTCATTTAATCGGTATCCTGGTATCCTCATTCAATCCCTCATTACTAGTATACTCATTTAATCAGCACACTCAGAGCACAGGCTCTGCGTGTGCGACTAAATGAGGATACCACTCGGATAGTGCAGAAAAGTGACCTAGAACTAGGACCTTTTGAGTTAAAACAAGCACCAACTAATGCAAATTCGGTATCGAACGGAGCAATCGTAGCGATTGTAGGCCACCGCCCTAAACGAGTATATGTCTGATGAAAGTTATAAGATATGATGGTTTATTCAATCTGTTTAAAGGCATGCCCCAGGATCGCACTGGTGTGGCTCTTGCACACGAATGTGAATGTATCGGTGCCAAGTGGGCCGGCAGTGAAGAAAAAAGGAAAAGAATCCGTCGAAAACGCTCAGGTTGAGGGCTCACTCACCTTCCTAATTGGCTGTGCTAAAGGGAACGAGAGACTAAGCGCGAAGAGGAGAGTATGGGGCGAGAGAGCGCATCAGATGAGAGAGCACCAGACAACGGCCTGATAAGAGAGCTCGTTCGCTGCAGCTCGAGCAGCTTACTTTGCAAGCCCAAAGCGTTCTTGTCGGTCGAATTCCGTGCACGTGAACGCCACATTTGTGATTGTCCCCTAGGGTTCTATACTTCTGACCGAAGAGAAGAGTTATAAAAAACCTCTGCCTGGGTTGTGCCTTTAAAGCACTCGTATCACAACGTACCTCGGCTGCCCAAGTCTATGCAACCACTCACATTGCGGGATGATACGGGCGTTCCCGTCCTTGGAGGGTGGGGGAGAGGCAGACATCACAAGAGGGAAACTGTAAGTGACACTAGAACGAAGTCCAGAGGGATATGTTTGCAAGAGAGAACATATATTGCTCGGCGCTCATGTCCTTGGGAGGGGTTCATCACAGAAGAGCCGATTAGGACTAAGCCTAGGACAGGGGAGGAAAATCAATTAGA